TTCTGGGGGATCATTGGGTGGATATTTTTCTTAGACTGAGCAAAAGCAACCTCTTGTTCTCCATCCCAGTTCCATTTTTCATCTTTTCGCAGCAATATGTGCACAGGAGCTAAAACGGTAGACAAGTTGGGTAAGAACTTATTATAGTTTAACAGTCCCAAATAGGCCTTCAATTCTGTCACATTTTTTGGTGAGGGAGCGTTTTGAATAGCAGTCACCTTTTCTGGTGCTGGGTTGAGGCCAGCCTCATCTACTTTATGGCCCAAGAGTGTTACCTCTTTTTCCATGAAGGAACATTTACTCCGTTTCAACCGCAGTCCTGCTTCCTGCAATCTTTCCAATACCCTGGCGAGCGTTTGGAGATGTTCCTCATCAGCATGTCATCCAGGAATACAGCCACATACGGAAGACATTGCAGTACTCCCTCAATGGACCTCTGGAAGATGACAGGACTAGAAAAAACTCTAAAGGGTAAAACACAGTAAGTAAACAGCCCCTTGTCAAAATCGACAACATGTATGCTAGACCCTATACGACTAAGTTCTTGAAAGAGATGCTTCCAGAGGTCATAGATCCTCTTCTTAATATCATTTATTCATCTTTGTCATTAGGATACGTACCAAAAAACTTTTAAGCTGGCTATGATTAAACTGCTTGTTAAAAAAACACAACTTGATCCTACAGAATTAGTCAATTACAGGCCGATCTCGAATCTACCTTTTCTGTCAAAGATACTAGAAAAGGCAGTCTCCTCACAACTATGTTCCCTTTTAGAAAGAAATGATATCTGCAAGGATTTTCAGTCAGGATTTAGACTGTACCATAGTACCGAGACAGCTCTCATCAGAGTCACAAATGATTTGCTCTTATCATCCGATCGTGGTTGTATCTCTCTAATAGTGCTACTCGATCTTAGTGCTGCATTTGATACCATTGACCACAACAATCTTTTAAATAGACTCGAAAATGATGTTGGCATTAGTGGAATTGCAATAGCATGGTTTAAATCTGACCGTTATCAGTTTGTAGCAGTAAATGAAGAGATGTTAGATCAAAAGTTCAGTATGGCGTACCACAAGGCTCAGTACTAGGACCGTTGCTGTTGCTGTACATGCTACCCTTAGGATATATCATTAGGAAGCATGGCATTAGTTTTCACGGTTATGCTGACGATACTAAGCTCTATATTTCTTCAAGCCCTGACGAAACTTACCAATTCACAAAATTAACGGAAGGCATAACTGATATAAAAAACTGGATGACTAGCAACTTCCTACTACTTAATTCTGAAAAAACAGAGATTTTAATTATTGTAAAAAAAAAACTTCCTCATGTGATAACCTAGAATACTGTCTAACACTTGATGGCTGCTCTGTCAAGTCTTCGTCGTCGGTTAGGAACCTGGGTGTGCTCTTTGATATCAATCTTTCATTTGAAAGTCACGTTTATAGCATCTGTAAAACCGCATTTTTCCATCTTAAAAACGTATCTAAATTACGTCATATGCACTCAATGACCAATGCAGAACAATTAGCTAATGCTTTCATGACATCAAGGCTAGATTATTGTAATGCTATTATGGGTGGTTGCCCTGCACGCTTAATAAACAAACTACAGCTGGTCCAAAACGCAGCAGTTCGAGTTATTACCAGAACCAGGAAGAATGACCATATTAGCCCGGTTCTGTCAACACTGCATTGGCTCCTTATTAAACATCGTATAAATTTTAAAATATTGCTGATTACTTACAAAGCACTAAATGGTTTATCTCCCCAGTACTTGAGCGAGCTCTTAACAGATTATAGTCCTTCACGTCTATTGCGATCTCAAAATTCCGGCCAGTTGATAATACTTGGAATATCAAAATCGACTGCTGGCGGTAGATCCTTTTCCTATTTAGCACCTAAACTTTGGAACAGTCTTCCTAACATTGTCCGGACACACTCTAAATCTAGATTAAAAACACATCTCTTCAACCTGGCAAACACATAGAACACTATACATTCTTCAAATCAGTTAAACGATTATTAGGCTGCATAAATTAGGTCAGCCGGAACCGGGAACACCTATAACACCTGATGTACTCGCTACATCATAAAAAAATATGCCATCTACGCTAATTTAAGTATTTCTGTTTATTCCGAATTTAACTCAGCCGGACCCGGGCCGTATCCAGATCAGATGGTGGACTTGCGCCTAGACATGACCAAAACGCATCCCTGAAGTGCCAGTCTCATCAGCCCTGTGAAGGCCTCATGGACACCTCAACAAACTGGTCTCTATTCCGGTGTGATGACTCCTAACTCCAACAGATGGAACTGGTTAAATATTGTGAATGTTCCGATCCAATCTGACTTCTGACCTATAATGCTTCCTGAATCATAATCATACAATGTTCGTTCGTTGGCCAGAGGAGAACTGGACCCCTGACTGAGCCTGGGTTATCCCAAAGTTTTTTTCTCCATTCTGTTACCTGATGGAGTTTTGGTTCCTTGCCATTGTCACCTTTTTCACCTTTCTTCGCCTTTGTCGCTTTTGGCTTACTTAGTTGGGGACATTTTCCTGTTATCTCTGTAAAGCTGCTTTGAAACAATCTGTATTGTAAAAAGCGCTGTATGAAAATGGTGACTTGTCTTGACTCGTGTTGAAATGATCAGTTCCTTACTTATTCTTTATTTGTGTCTTTGAAGACCTTGATGCAATTGTTTTGGGGGTTTTTTGTCACGAATGGGTGTCCCTTTTTTGCCACATTGAAGGTGGCAACCCTAGGTGTGACTAAAGATTTAGGTATGCTCCCTGTCTTGCATTGTAAATTTGCAATAAATGTTGTAAAGACAGTAAAGACATTAATAATGTTTATTTAAAAATAATTATATTAAAATAATTCACATTTGTGTTTTCAATTTCACATTTCTATTTCAATATTTCTGTAAATCCAACTTCTGATTAAAAAAAAAACACCTCCACACATTGCACATTTTATGAAGTAGCACAACCATTTTCAGCTGTTTCTTGAACACCAAATATTGAAATGCATTTTAAAATGTATTCAAACAAAAAACAGTTAGTTGAAATTGTAGTATTTATCAAATGTACCAAAACATTGTAACCAGTCTGGCAGTCAGTTGGGATCTTCTTATAAAAATGGAAAAAAGTGCAAAAGTAAGTAAACATCTTTGGTAAATGGATGCATTAGCATTATAGCAGGCTATATCTATCTACTGTATCTATGTCTCTCTCTCTCTCTCTCTCTCTCTCTCTCTCTCTCTCTCTCTCTCTCTCTCTCTCTCTCTCTCTCTCTCTCTCTCTCTCTCTCTCTCTCTATATATATATATATATATATATATACACAGAGTATGTATAATGTTCTAATGTTACAGTAAACTGTAATTAAAAATCTTAGTAACACTTCACAATAGGGTCCCATTAATTGACATTTAATGCATTAACTAACCATGAGCAATATATTTGCAAAACTTTGTAGTTTTTATTCATCTTTGTTAATGTTAGTTAATAAAATTACATTGTTCACTGTTATTAAATGTTTGTTCAGGACCATTATATAATTTTGATAACTTGATTTTAATAACTTATTAGAATTTTTTTAAATTAACATTAACTGACATTAAATAAATAAAAAATAAATACTTCTAAAAGCATTTATTTTTTATTTATTAGTTTTTTTTATGTAAACTATGGAACCTTATTGTAAAGTGTTACCAAAAACAAGTAAATATTTTACATATACATACTATTTTAAGCCGTTAGTGTAGTGTGTGTAGCAATATAGATTGCATAGAGTTTACATAATAAATTATAAGTAATAATATTTGGGAAAAAAAGAATACACTTTTCGTGTTAACAGGTACAAGAGACCATGTTATCCACAGCTGACACAGTCAAATATTTACATTTTTAAATATCAATAAAGATAAAGCAATAGTATGTTTCTTCTCACATAAGCAGAACTCAAAACCAACCGTAATAATTACAGATTGGATTTCCATTTGTGATCACTTTAGTTAGTGTTTTTTAAGGATTACAACAAACGACTGATAGGGACTAAATGAGCTTCCTCCCGAGTTAGTGACACTAACTCTAAAATGTACATAAACACCACCCATCATTGTCTGACTACGGTTTAAACATAAAAGGCTAAAAGTTTTCAGTGTGTGAGGTAATCGGGGCTGCTAACACACAAGCTCCGCCCTTTGTGCCGGGAGCAGCAGGTAATTTGCATTTAAAGGGACACACACAAAATGACTTTGCTCACCCACAAAAAGTGACAATGTCATCATGCTATAAAAAATTACCTCTGGGGAATTTTGAGCTAAAACTTCACATACACACTCTGGGGACATCAGAGACTTATTTAGCATCTTGCAAAAATGGGCATTATACCACCCCTTTAAGAGATTAAAATCTTATACTTATTAGTGAGTATTTTATACTTAGTGGGTATAAGATACTTATTAGTATGGAGCCCCGCACATAACATGCAGGAAAAAAATAGTAGCTTAAAGCATGCACACGATTTACTACTTCATTCCCTCGATTTATAAATACTGTGCACGATTTACTACTTCATTCCCTCGATTTCTAAATACTGTGCACGATTTACTACTTCATTCCCTCGATTTATAAATACTGTGCACGATTTACTATACTTCATTTCCTCGATTTATAAATACTGTGCACGATTTACTATACTTCATTTCCTCGATTTATAAATACTGTGCATGATTTACTACTTCATTCCCTCGATTTATAAATACTGTGCACGATTTACTACTTCATTCCCTCGATTTATAAATACTGTGCACGATTTACTATACTTCATTTCCTCGATTTATAAATACTGTGCACGATTTACTATACTTCATTTCCTCGATTTATAAATACTGTGCATGATTTACTACTTCATTCCCTCGATTTATAAATACGCACGATTTTCATTCCCTTGATCGTGCGCACAATTTTTAATTCGAGGGAACAAATAAGTATATCATCCGCACGATTTAGCAAATCAAGGGAACAAAATAGTAAATCGTGCGCACGGTTTATAAATCGAGGGAAAGTGTACAAATATCTAAAATAAGATATCAGTGGTCCCACTGATGTTACATGCTGGCTGGCAAGCAATTCTCAGCACAAGAAAGAGCAATATGATGTATTGTTGATTATAAAAAGTCTGCATTGTAGACTTTGAGATTCAAAGGTAAAGACATGCATCACCCCTGTCTGTTACTCACATTCGTGTCTCCAATTTATATTTATTCTTAAGATCACTGAGCATCTTTACTGCTGAACCTGAGAAGTTATTATCAAACAGACTCAAATCTCTCAGGTGTTCAGGGTTTGATCTCAGAGCTGAAGCCAGAGCAGCACAACCTTCATCTGTGATGCCACACCTGCTCAACCTGTGGAGAGAACAACAACATACTCAGTTCAGTGTGGGTAGAAGATTTAGAAAATAAAGTTGGTTGATAAGAATAAAATCGGATTCCTCCTCAGTCATCATATATGATTTAAGCTGCGTTTTCAACGCAGGAACTTTCCCCGGGAACTAGAGAATTTGGGGTGGTACTCTGTGTTTTTCGACCGCAGGGATCAGGGTCTAAATGAAGTTCCAGGTAAAATTTCCCCCTCAGAAAGTCCCTATATGCGAGGTAAGTGCATGCAGCAGGAGTTGTTTGCTATTTGAATCAACATTGGAGTTTAAAAATACAACCAATGGACCGACGACGAGGTTCAAGATTTATTAAGCTTATACAGTATGTGGAGGACGAAATCCAGTGGGAACTGGAAAGCCTTTTTACCATTACAGTGTACATGATTCCATGGTATATTTGATTTACTGTTTGAGTATGGTGCCAATTTTATTGTTACCACCAAATATTTTACATTTTCTTTTAGATATCTTTAGGTCTGGTTTCAGACCCAACCTTAGGTTATCCAACCTCTTTGGTCTCGGTCTCGACTGTCTATGGTCTCGGTCTCGACTCTCTATGGTCTCGGTCTCGACTCTCTATGGTCTCGATCTCGACTCAGACTCGACCCTCTATGGTCTCGGTCTCGACTCGGTCTCGACCCTCTATGGTCTCGATCTCGACTCAGACTCTACCCTCTATGGTCTCGGTCTCGACTCGGTCTCGACCCTCTATGGTCTCGGTCTCGACTCGGTCTCGACCCTCTATGGTCTCGGTCTCGACCCTCTCATGCTATGGTCTCGGTCTCGACCCTCTATGGTCTCGGTCTCGACTCGGTCTCGACCCTCTATGGTCTCGGTCTCGACTCGGTCTCGACCCTCTATGGTCTCGGTCTCGACTCGGTCTCGACCCTCTATGGTCTCGGTCTCGACCCTCTCATGCTATGGTCTCGGTCTCGACCCTCTATGGTCTCGGTCTCGACTCGGTCTCGACCCTCTATGGTCTTGGTCTCGACCCGGTCTCGACCCTCTATGGTCTCGGTCTCGACCCTCTCATGCTATGGTCTCGGTCTCGACCCTCTATGGACTCGGTCTCGACTCGGTCTCGACCCTCTATGGTCTCGGTCTCGACCCTCTATGGTCTCGGTCTCGACTCGGTCTCGACCCTCTATGGTCTCGGTCTCGACTCGGTCTCGACTCTCTATGGTCTCGACTCGGACTCGACCCTCTATGGTCTCGGTCTCGACTCGGACTCGACCCTCTTTGGTCTCGGTCTCGACTCGGACTCGACCCTCTATGGTCTCGGTCTCGACCCTCTATGGTCTCGGTCTCGACTCGGTCTCAACTCTCTATGGTCTCGGTCTCGACTCGGACTCGACCCTCTATGGTCTCGGTCTCGACCCTCTCATGCTATGGTCTCGGTCTCGACTCGGTCTCGACCCTCTATGGTCTCGGACTCGACTCGGTCTCGACTCTCTATGGTCTCGACTCGGACTCGGCCCTCTATGGTCTCGGTCTCGACTCGGTCTCGACTCTCTATGGTCTCGACTCGGACTCGGCCCTCTATGGTCTCGGTCTCGACTCGGACTCGACCCTTTTTGGTCTCGGTCTCGACTCGGACTCGACCCTCTATGGTCTCGGTCTCGACCCTCTATGGTCTCGGTCTCGACTCGGACTCGACCCTCTATGGTCTCGGTCTCGACCCTCTATGGTCTCGGTCTCGACTCGGTCTCGACTCTCTATGGTATCGGTCTCGACTCGGACTCGACCCTCTATGGTCTCGGTCTCGACCCTCTATGGTCTCAGTCTCGACTCGGACTCGACCCTCTATGGTCTCGGTCTCGACCCTCTATGGTCTCGGTCTCGACTCGGTCTCGACTCTCTATGGTCTCGACTCGGACTCGACCCTCTATGGTCTCGGTCTCGACTCGGACTCGACCCTCTTTGGTCTCGGTCTCGACTCGGACTCGACCCTCTATGGTCTCGACCCTCTATGGTCTCGGTCTCGACTCGGTCTCGACTCTCTATGGTCTCGGACTCGACCCTCTATGGTCTCGGTCTCGACTCGGACTCGACTCTCTATGGTCTCGGACTCGACCCTCTATGGTCTCGGTCTCGACCCTCTATGGTCTCGGTCTCGACTCGGTCTCGACTCTCTATGGTCTCGGTCTCGACTCGGACTCGACCCTCTATGGTCTCGGTCTCGACCCTCTATGGTCTCGGTCTCGACTCGGACTCGACCCTCTATGGTCTCGGTCTCGACTCGGTCTCGACTCTCTATGGTCTCGATCTCGACTCAGACTCGACCCTCTATGGTCTCGGTCTCGACTCGGTCTCGAACCTCTATGGTCTCGGTCTCGACTCGGTCTCGACCCTCTATGGTCTCGGTCTCGACCCTCTCATGCTATGGTCTCGGTCTCGACCCTCTATGGTCTCGGTCTCGACTCGGTCTCGACCCTCTATGGTCTCGGTCTCGACTCGGTCTCGACTCTCTATGGTCTCGACTCGGACTCGACCATCTATGGTCTTGGTCTCGACTCGGACTCGACCCTCTTTGGTCTCGGTCTCGACTCGGACTCGACCCTCTATGGTCTCGGTCTCGACCCTCTATGGTCTCGGTCTCGACTCGGTCTCAACTCTCTATGGTCTCGGTCTCGACTCGGACTCGACCCTCTATGGTCTTGGTCTCGACCCTCTCATGCTATGGTCTCGGTCTCGACCCTCTATGGTCTCGGTCTCGACTCGGTCTCGACCCTCTATTGTCTCGGTCTCGACTCGGTCTCGACCCTCTATGGTCTCGGTCTCGACTCGGTCTCGACTCTCTATGGTCTCGACTCGGACTCGGCCCTCTATGGTCTCGGTCTCGACTCGGACTCGACCCTTATTGGTCTCGGTCTCGACTCGGACTCGACCCTCTATGGTCTCGGTCTCGACCCTCTATGGTCTCGGTCTCGACTCGGTCTCGACTCTCTATGGTCTCGGTCTCGACTCGGACTCGACCCTCTATGGTCTCGGTCTCGACCCTCTATGGTCTCAGTCTCGACTCGGACTCGACCCTCTATGGTCTCGGTCTCGACCCTCTATGGTCTCGGTCTCGACTCGGTCTCGACTCTCTATGGTCTCGACTCGGACTCGACCCTCTATGGTCTCGGTCTCGACTCGGACTCGACCCTCTTTGGTCTCGGTCTCGACTCGGACTCGACCCTCTATGGTCTCGACCCTCTATGGTCTCGGTCTCGACTCGGTCTCGACTCTCTATGGTCTCGGTCTCGACTCGGACTCGACCCTCTATGGTCTCGGTCTTGACCCTCTATGGTCTCGGTCTCGACTCGGACTCGACCCTCTATGGTCTCGGTCTCGACCCTCTATGGTCTCGGTCTCGACTCGGTCTCGACTCTCTATGGTCTCGGTCTCGACTCGGACTCGACCCTCTATGGTCTCGGTCTCGACCCTCTATGGTCTCGGTCTCGACTCGGACTCGACCCTCTATGGTCTCGGTCTCGACTCGGTCTCGACTCTCTATGGTCTCGACTCGGACTCGACCCTCTATGGTCTCGGTCTCGACTCGACCCTCTATGGTCTCGGCCTCGACTCGAACTCGAGTGAGCTGGTCTCGACTCCAACACTGCACTACAGTGTATTAAAGAATAATGTGTGACTATCAGAGAAATGATCTTACTTCAGTATCTCCAGTTTACAGTGAGGATCTTCAAGTCCGGCACAGAGAAGAGTCACCCCTTTATCTCCTAGATAATTAATAGACAGATTGAGTCGTCTCAGGTGTGAGGGGTTTGATCTCAGAGCTGAAGCCAGAGCCGCACAACCTTCATCTGTGACGCCACAGTGACGCAACCTGTACAAAACAATACATTTGTGTTCAAGAGTAGACATAAAACCATTTTAGAAATGTAAGCATTATCAGCATTGATTCTGAATGCAATAAAGATACCAAAGATATATTTTTGTTTTAAGCAAGCAAGTACACATTGCCACCTATCAGGTCATGTGATACAATGCATGAAATCAGCATTAACTTATATAGGTTTTAAAGGATCCAATCATAAACCAGGTGTAAATGCACCTAACATACATACATGTTTTCAAATGCTATACAATTGTGATCCAATCAGCAAAAAACTTGTTGATGTCAGGTGTAAAAGGGACCATAGAGATGATCTTACTTCAGTATCTTCAGATTACAGTGAGGATCTTTCAGTCCATCAGAAAGAAAATTCACACCCAAATCTCCCAGTTTATTATCAGTCAGATCCAATTCTCTCAGGGGTGAGGGGTTTGATCTCAGAGCTGAAGCCAGAGCAACACAACCTTCATCTGTGACGCCACAATCACTCAACCTGTAGAGAACAATGACACCATCATTTTATCATCCGGCTACATCAGGCAGAGTTTAAGATCATTCTGTTTACTTCATTGCTTTGATCTCACCAGTAAAAAAGTGTGTACACGAGAGGTTGAGGTTGTGTGGCAGTGCACACAATTTTTAAGTTTAGTTTTTGTAAATCCAACTGTGAGCATGAGAGGCGACATACAGTACACACATTGTAAGAGAGAGAGAAACGATCTCACCTGAGTATCTCTATTATACAGTTAGAATCCACTAATCCAGACAAAAGCTCAAGCACTCCAGAATCTCCTAGTTCATTCCAAGACAGATCCAGTTCTCTCAGGTGTTCAGGGTTTGATCTCAGAAATGAAGCCAGAGCAGCACAACCTTCATCTGTGACGCCACACTTCCTCAGCCTGTACAGGGAACAATGCCACTCTTCACTCTCAGTTCAAACACAAAAATAAGATTTGACTATATCTCCAGTACTCTTCTAATTGACAAATTTTGGGTTTTGAAGGTTAAATATTTCCTAAAAAATAAAAAATAAATAAAAAAAGCAATACAGGTTTGGAATGACATGAGGGTGAGTAAATGACAGAATTCTAATTTTGGGGTGAACTACCCCAATAATATAATTTAATGCATTTTATTCAAATACACTACTGTGATTTAAAAATTAAACAAGATCCCAGTGATATTACCACAATATCTCCAGTTTACATTGAGGATCCTTCAGTCCAGCAGAGAGCAAATGCACACCTCTAACTCCTAGCTTATTATCAGTCAGATTCAGTTTTCTCAGGTGTGAGGGGTTTGATCTCAGAGCTGAAGCCAGAGCAGCACATCCTTCATCTGTGACGCCACAGTGACTCAACCTGTAAAGAACAAAACGTTATGTTTTTTGCACTTTTAATCTGAAGTTACTAAATATTTTTTATTAATTAAAACATTTACTTTAGAAATTAATTTATTTGAAACATCAACAATCATCCTGTAACTTCCTATTAGTTTTAGATTTCTGATCATGCACTTTATCACTTTATTTAGGGCTTATTTGGTTAACTGATTTTAACTGGCTTATGATTCTGCTTAATCGGTTAAGAATTTCCCAAAATGCGCATCCCTAGATGGCAGAATGCAATTAATCAACACTTAAAAACATTTTCTTCTATAGAATGTCGAAAATCTTACTGTAAATCAGCTTATCAAACTAAAAAAAAAGTCACCAGTTTCATAAAATTAACCATTGCAGTGATTGCTTTTAAGATTTACTTACTTAACTGATCTTAATTCTTTAACCACAGACAGCAGCTTCAGAACTACTTCATCGGAAGAATTTCCTTTTCCAATTAAACTGTTTAGTTCAAATGTATCCATATCATGCTCTGATGTCAATAACACAAAGACTAAAGCTGACCACTGAGAACAGGAGAGTTTGACTTCACATAATGTTCCAGATTTCAGAAACTGTTGCATTTCCTCCACTATTGAGCGATCACCCAGTTCATTGAGACAGTGGAAAAGATTGATCGATTTTTCTGGAGAGTCAATGATCCTGATCTTCTCCTTGATGTACTCAATTGTTTTCTCATTGCTGTCAAAGCTGCCTCTTGTCAGTGTCCTTAGACCTTGAAGGAGAATCTGATGAGACTCCACTGACAAACCCAGAAGGAACCGCAGGAAAAGATCCAGATGTCCATTTTTACTCTTTAGAGCCTCATCCACAGCTCTCTGATGTACATCTGATAAAGTATACTTCAGAAACATGGATAAGACAGAAAACTCCCTGGAGAAAACCTGTGAGCTATTATTTTTATAAAAGAGATGCACATATAGAGCCGCTAGATGTTCCTGAATGCTCAGATGAACAAAGCAGAAGACTTTCTTCTGATACAAGCCAGACTCCTCTCTGAAGATCTGAGTGCACAATCCTGAGTACACTGATGCTTCTGTCACATCAATGCCACACTCTCTCAGGTCTTCCTCATAGAAGATCACATTGCCTTTCTCAAGCTGCTGAAAAGCCAGTTTCCCCAGTTTGAGGATCATGTCTTCATCTGTCACTTTCTTCTCATAGTCCTTCTCATCTTTGATGTTGGTCTGAAGGATCAGGAAGTGTGTGTACATCTGAGTGAGAGTCTTGGGAATCTCTCCTCTCTCTGCTTCGCTCAACATCTTCTCCAGAACAGTGGCTGAGATCCAGCAGAACACTGGGATGTGGCACATGATGTAGAGGCTCCTTGAGGACTTCAGGTGTGTGATGATTGTATTGGCCAGACTCTGATCACTGACTCTCTTCCTGAAGTATTCCTCCTTCTGTGGATCATTGAAGCCTCGTACCTCTGTCACTCGATGGACACACTCAGAGGGGACGAGATCGGCTGCTGCTGGTCTGGAGGTGATCCAGATGAGAGCAGAGGGAAGCAGATTCCCCACAATGAGGTTCGTCAACAGCACGTCCAGTGAGATCTCTTTGGTCTGATCCTGTAGAGTCTCATTGCTGTGAAAGTTTAAGGGAAGGTGACACTCATCCAGACCATCAAAGATGAACAACACTTTATATCTGTCAATGGATATTTCCATTTCTTTTGTTACAGGAAAAAAGACATGAAGAAGCTCTGAAAGACTGAGTGTTTTGTCCTTCATCAGATTGATCTCTCTGAAAGGAAGTGGAAATATGAGCTGGACGTCCTGATTCTCTTTCTCTTCAGCCCAGTCCAGGATGAACTTCTGCACAGAGACTGTTTTTCCAATGCCAGCGACTCCCTTTGTCAGCACAGTTCTGATGGGTTTGTCTTGTCCAGGTAAAGGTCTAAAGATGTCATTGCATTTGATCGGTGTGTCCTCTGTTGTTGCTCTCCTGGATTGTATCTCAATCTGTCTCACCTCATGTTCATTACTGATGTCTCCACTCTCAGTCTCTGTGATGTAGAGCTCAGTGTAGATCTCATTCAGGAGTGTTGGGTTTCCCCGCTGTGCTGTTCCCTCATACAGACACTCAAACTTCTTCATTAGATTTGATCTAAATGTGTTGAAGATTTCATGACTGTAAAATTAAAATACCACATTATTATATAATTCTAAGTGGCACACATTTTAAAGCAGTAGAAGTGTAATGAATTATCGATTTAAAGTATTGATCATATCATTGATTATAAACTATATGATGATTCTTTGAAGCATCAAAACCTTGTACATTACCTGTCGTCAGGATAAGCGCTTTCATTAAAGTCTTGTTGATGCATAGACTCTTCATATTTAATTTTTTTACAGACGGGTTCAGTTACATCTGGTCTGGATTGCGGGGTTCGCCTTAAACAGTATGAAGAGGATAAATAATCAGATACTTTCATATTTTGAATTGATACTGAAGTGTAGATGCTGTTATTTTATTAGAAATAAAAAATTTATAGTTTCGAGTGGTGATAAAATGATGATAAACACATTCAATGTGCCCAATTTCTTTGTAGCTTGGCCATAAACAGTTGATACAGTGAGGTTAATGATCCAATAATAATAATAATAATCATGTATTGTCATTGTTATGATTCAACGAGATTACATTAGAGCATTAATCAACAGTGCAATTTCATGAAATGCAAGAGATCAACAATAGCACATTTTATAAACAGGGCAAAGCGACATATACTGTAACAGACAAGGAATAGGGATAGGGTATATGAGGCGAAGAATCACTAGTAACTAGGACAATTAGTATAATTGAGTGTGCTGCAGGAATGGAAAGACCAATTCACAGTTATTGCAATTGTTGGATAATATGCATAATAGATGGATTAAGTGAGTGGAGGGGGGAGAAGGGAACAGTGCTTATTTAGCAGTCTAACTGCCTGGGGGTAGAAGCTGTTGACCATTATGGTGGTTCATTCTAGAGTACTTGATGGAGAAATTGTTATACTAATATTAGTAATAAAAGCAATAATTTTTAAAATTAACAAACCACAATGTAACACTTTCAGTACATACTGAAATTCAAAGTAACACCTGATAGTTGGCTGTGTTTCTTCACCCTTAAGGTGGGGGGGATGATCCATAGACCAGTCACTCTTCACAGACACATTGCTAGGGTTTGGTGAATCTGATCTCTCCTGCTGGACTGAACTGTAATACAGCAAACAAGAGGGCTGGAAATAGAGGTTATTTCAGAGGCAAATTATATTCATCATTATTAAATAAAGAAAAAAAGAGATTTGAGATCAAAATGAATGCAGGCTATGCAGCCTATTGGTTGTGTGAGCCCATAGTAGAGGTCTTCACAGTGCACCCGAGACCCGTCGACCCGGGACTCGACCCGGGACCCGTACGGGTTCGGGTCTATATTTTAAATGATCAGCCGGGTCCGGGTCGGGTCCGAATCTATTACTTCGGGTCCCGGGTCTGTTTAACATTGTGTGTAAGGTCCGTGCGATCGGAGTCATCGGACTCTATCAGAGTCAGAATGAGTCAGTCAGCACTGCTTGTGTTTTTTTGCAACTTGTAAAATTAGGTAAAGAAAGTGTGAGCCAAAAAAAAAAAAAAAAAAAAAAGAGCGATCTCACTCTCTCTTTGCCGTTAGAGGTTAGAAGCAGAGCGCGCAGTCTCGAGCGCGCAGTCTCAAGCGCGTGTCATGTTTCTATGGCAACCAGAGCTTCCGCCAAACCGCGCTTTACATTTTCAACATTTTTATAATAATATAAATGAACCGTCTTGTTTAATCTTAAAGTTTTGGTGGTCAGATTCAGACTCAATGCAGAGCAAAGAGCACAGATATGATAACAAATAAATAACGTCAGCGGCCATGGCACTGAACGAGCAATCGTTATTATAGTTCAAAAGGGCAAACAGTTAAAGTTATTATGCGAGTTAACTCGAGTCAAAATGTAACTTACATGTGCAAAGTTGCATTTGTCATCCATCACCGTGACATCAAGACATCAATTTTAAAGCTGAAATAATGAGTGGATTAAGCTTGCAATAACGAGAGAAATAACATGGATATAACTTTCTTGTCGGTCGATTGTAATGCATCACAGTCAGTCAGGAAGTGAGACGACGGCTACTAAAATTAGGTAAGACAAAAAGTTTTATTTTTCGCAACTTGTGTGAAATAATATGTGACAATCGGGTCCAGTCGGGTTTGTGTCTTCCCGCCGGGTTCGGGTCCAGTTTTCAAATAATATACGGGTCCAGGTCGGGTCCGGGCAGTACATTTATGGCATTTCTCGGGTCTGCACGGGTCCGGGTCCAACTTTTGAAATAATTGACGGGTCCGGGTCCGGGTCGGTTCGGTGTAGCACATTACGGGTCTCTTCTGGTTCGGGCATGAATTTTTGGACCCGTGAAGACCTCTAGCCCATAGTGCAACCTGGAGGAAACAAGGAAGCTGATTGGCCGTTGAAACTGCACATGGCACTTA